CGCACGGTTCCGCTGCAGACAGACAGCCCGCCGGGTAGACGTCTTCGGAGGGGACACGCCTCCTCCCCACGGAGCCGCGGAGAAGACACGAGCCCCCAGGAACCAGAGAGGGAGCCGCACAGACAGCAGGCAGGTGACTCGACGCAAGAACCTTCTGGAGGTTCGGGGAGGCCGACGGGTCCCCTGAGGAGCATCCCTCTACTCCCAGGAGGGCAGGCGGGGGCAGAGGAGGGGCAGGTGCGGACGAGAGCCGCCCAGAGGGCCCCCGGGTAGGGCCGCCGGCCGCCTCCGGCGTTTCTGCGTCTCTGGACACTGGACTCCGATGAGGCAGGTTCCTGGGACTTACTTTCACGTAACTGCACTCGACTTGAAAGGGTCCCGCTCAGCTTCCCAAGCGCTCTCCTCGCGTCCCGACGAGACGCACAACCTGCTCTGCGCACAGGGCCCCGCACAGGAGCCCAGGCGAACGTCACCGCTGTCGCGAGCCAGTCCTGGGGTCTCGCGGTTCCCCGGGACCGAGCACAGAGCGAGACGGAAGGGAGCTGACACCCAGTCCAGGCGTAAGGGCAAAGACCTGAACTCTTCTCAGTAAAGAGCTGAAACGTGCGCTCGGCAGGAGACCACAACTATTTCCGGAGGCTCAGGACTCACACCAGTGTCAGCGCCACCAGGAGCCGACGCAGCGAGGCTAACGCCACGGCCAGCGATGGGCCCAGGCCGGCGCCAGGCGACATCCCGACGCCAGCACCCAAGGAGCCTGCACCCGGGGCCGACGAGCTAACTGATGACCCCCCGTCAGCTCCCACCAACGGGGCGAGAGGAAGGCACAGCCTCAGAGATGCCCACTGAATGGTCTCGGGGTCTCCGGGAACCGCCGTCTCAACACAGAAACGGGTTTGCAGACGGCCTGGGGCACCCCTGGGGCACCCCCGGGGCTGTCACCGGCAGGGCCCCTCCCAGTGCTCAGCGTCCGCACCCAGGCCGAGCCCCCCACAGGCAGGGTCACGGGTCAGTCTGCACAATGAGTGACGTCTCACAGGGCCTCCAGGCCCACGTTCTGCTGTTCGAGGAGCATCCCGGGGACGGGACAGGCGAGAGACTCCAAAGGCCACCTCACTCCAACACTGGACCAGTCTCAACGCAGAAGGTGACAAGTGACAAGGGGTCCCAATCTGTCAGCTGTCTCCAAATCTCCAAGTTGCCCGGACAGGAAAACCAGCCTTGTTCTGTCCAGCTCCACCTGCACACGCGGACTCGCCAGGGACGGCAGGACAGGACTGCGGTGCCCACACTGAATAAAGCTGCCGGGGCAGGGCGGGTCACAGCCAGGACCGGAACCTTGGTCCGGGACACAGCACCTTGGAGCCAGGCCCACTGGGGCGTCCCGGGGTGAGGTGCCCCCTGCAGTCCATCCACCACAGAAGACGTGACGGGCGGCATCGAGACCTCGTGGGACGCACAGGAAGTAGGGGACACTCGCAGTTCCTGACACAGGCCGCGCACACAGGACGCACTGTGCGTTCTTACAACTCGGCGATGAGAAGGCAAACCAGCCAATGAAAGACGGGCAAGGACGAGGCTCCCAGTCCAGTCGGCCTCGGTCCAGCTCGCACCCGGGTGTCCATGCAAGGGTGCCCTGGGGTGGACACTGTGTCCATGTGCCTCTCGGAGGGGACGGCCCGGCAGGACTCCCCCTCCCTGGCTGCCCGTCCACAGGGAGCCCCGCAGAGCCTGGAGAACGGGGTGGACCCAGAGGGGACTCCGGTTCGGATCCTCACCAATGGGATCTGCTCAGCCAACCATCCCCCCAAAACGCAGAGCCTGAAATAACAATGTCATGGGATGACTGTCTTAAGACATCTGCAGCGACGTTACAAAACAGTCCATTTTTGTGGTTACAAAGGTGAACCACAAATCTATTCCACTTACACGGAGAAGCATAAAACAGACTGAGAAGTCACAGAAACGTTTACTTCTAGCTCGGCCGGTGTGGCTCAGTGGCCTGAGCGTCGGCCCAGGGACTGAGAGGTCTGGGTTCGATTCCCGGTCAGGACACGTGCCCGGGGTGTGGGCTCGATCCCTAGTGGGGGGCGTGCAGGGGGCAGCTGATGGGTGTTTCTCTCTCTCTTTTCCTCTCTCTCTAAAAACATCAATAACACATTTTTTATTTACAAGAAGTTGACTTCCATACAATCTTAGTTTTAAAAAGCGCAACCTTCCTATGTGACTAGGTTGAAAAGTATTGGGTCCGACTAAAACGTGTTGTTTTTTAATTCGGACACGGCACCGGTGCCCTGGCGCAGAGGTAGGTTTCTGTTGTCAGCGGAATGGTTTCCAGCCCACCAGGGGGAGGCAGCTTCGAGCCTCATCGAGGTCACGTGTCCAGAGACGAGCGGCCCACGTCGGCCCCTGCCCATGGTGACGGAGTGTGCGCCGGTCCATCCTGGCCGTGCTCCTGTGCGGGTATCGGCTCGGCTCTGGGCCGCGCCTTCCCGCCCCGGCACCTGCTCACTCCTCAGGCTGCCTCTCTCACCTCCTAGTGCACTTTCAAATGTTTGTTCCTTTGCTGATCTCAGAGAGAGAGGAAGGGAGAGGGAGATGGAAACATCGACGAGAGAGAACATCGACGGGCCGCCTCCTGCACGCCCCCCACTGGGGATCAGCCCCAACCTGGGCCTGTGTCCTGACTGGGAATCGAACCCACGACCTCTTGGTGCAGGGTCGACGCTCACCCTGAGCAACACCGGCTGGACTCCCAATGTGCGTTTACAGATGACGGCCATGCCCCGCCCCCAGGGACCGTGTCCGAGACCCCCGTGGAGCTGGGCACAGTCCGCGCTGGACACTTACACACCACCTCCTGCACACACGCACTCACCTCCGCTCAGAGGGGCGCGTTCCGGCTCCCTTCCGGGCACATCCGATTCCGGCTGCGCGGCTGCTGAGTTTGGGGCCATCACAGTGAAATCCGGGGGGACACAGCACCGTGATGCCCGCCCAGCCCAGAGGTCGGGCGGGTAGCCCACACGGCACAAGGGACTGCCCGGCAGGTGTTCAGCGAGAATGTGATGAACCGAGGAGTCAGGTCCCGGTGGGACCGAGAGAGACACACGAGAGGTCACCACGCGCCACAGAACAGCGAACCATCTGGAAGTTTCCATCTGATGTGTTCCGACTGCAGCTGAGGGTGGTGATGGAAACGTGGACCAGGGGCAGGCTACTGGGTTCTGAGGAAAGGGAGGGTGTGACCTCTCTGTGGGTGGAGGAAAAGGGACCTTTGCAGGCAACACAGTCCGTTTCTTTCGTCTCTCTTTTTTTTTTTTTAGCACATGAATGTGGTTTATTTATTCTTATGTTTGGTCTCTATCCTTTAATTAATTAATTTATTTTTGCTGCAGGTGTTTCTTCCCCCCCATGGACACCCTCCTCCTCCTGCCCCTCCCCCAGCACTGCTGTCTGTGTCCATGGGTCGCGCTGATGTGCACGTTCTGCGGTTCACCTCTTCCCTCCTCCTGCCCCTCCTCTGAGGGTGGTCAGTCTGCACCCCACTTCCATGTCTCTGGATCTAGTTTGTCCGTCAGCTTATTTTGTTCATTATAGTCCACAAACAAGTGAGATCATGTGGTATTTGTCTTTCTCTGTTTGGCTTGTCTCACTTAGGATGATACTTTCCAGGTCCCTCCATGTCGTCTCAAAGGATAAGAGATCTTTCTTTCTTACAGCTGCATAGGACTCCATTGTGTACATGTACCACAGCTTTTTATCCATTCGTCTACTGATGGACACTTGGGCTGTTTCCAGATCTTAGCTATTGTAAATAGTGCTGCTCTGAACATGGGGGTACATATATTCTTCCTGATGGTGTTTCAGGCTCCTACACTAAAGACTACAGAATGGACAGCGGCTCCTGACCATGCCCTTCATGTTAACGAATCAGCGCTTGGATCCCGTGAGGTGTCTTTCAGCAGAAACACCCGTACGCCAGGGCCGGTGGGCACGTCCTCGGCACAGCTGCAGGAGCCTCGCTGCCCCGCGTCCCTGGCCGAGGCTGGGGTGTGAGCAGTGACATCACAGGCACAGCTACTGCGAAATGAAACACGACGGCACCCGGGCGCCCACTGGCCCAGGGAATAACACAAAGGGGTCTGTTATAGGGGTGAACCCACTCCTGTTTCCACGCGGACATTTAGGGTCTGTCTCGTGGTGAACGGGTTCGAGGAGGCACCGCTGAGCGCAGCACAGCCGGTGGGCGGAGGGACAGAGAGCCCTGTCCAGTGACACCACTTCCTCCCCTCTGCCCCTGCCCCCTGCCCGCAGCGACGACCTCGGACCCGGCACTGCAGTCCTGAGCCCCTCTGAGGCAGGGCTGCACCCCACGTGGTCGCCCAGGTCTGGCTGACCCGGCCCCTCGGTGTGGGGAGCACGGGGTCACTGGGAGCAGAGGTCACAGCGTCACGTTCTTTCTCAGTGTCTTTGCTCCTCAGTATTTTCAGATCTGCCCCCTGCGACCCTCCAGCAGCGTCGCTGCAGAGCAAGGACCCAGCTGACGACCGGGTCACGTCCTGGTTGGTCCTCGTGCCAGAGCCCAGCACAGGGCTGCCGCTCGACACCCTGCTCGGCCGGGCTGTCTGCCCTGGAGCAAACCCTCCACAACAGCGACACGAGACATACACATGTGCAGGCACACACACAGACATACACACACAGACATACACGGACACACACAGACATACACAGACACACAGACACACACACACAGAGATACACACACAGAGACACAGAGACACACAGACACACACACAGATACACACAGACACAGACACACAGACACTGAGCTCTGACGTGCACAGAGACACACACACACGCAGACACACTGACATCGTAAACGCTGCCTCAATCTAATCACTGACTCAGTAAAATCACGAGCTGCTTCTGAAACCCAAAGCGCCCACACTCACTGCGAGCGGCTGGACTCCAGACGCCGTGTGGACAGAACTTACAGGCAAACTGGAGCCGGGCTTCTCCGCTGACGATGGTCCCGAGCGCGTTGGTCGCGAAGCACTGGTAGGCGCCCGCGTCCCGCTCCCGGCGGGGGCTCAGGAGCACCAGGCTCCCCCGGCTCAGCCGGTACCGGGGCTCCGCGCTGGGGTCCAGGTCGCTCCCGTTCAGCTGCCAT